TGGACTTTGGAATGAGATGTCATTCGGATAGAACGGATAAAATTTGACGAAGTTATAGGCAAAAAATCACGGAGGGCGCTTTTTTGAAAATCTTTGATACACCTAATTTTATAAATTCTATAACTCGACGAAATCAAGTCCAAACGACCTTAAAATCTTTTCATAACCCCAGTTTAGATCATAGAATCCAAACATAGAAAAAAATATATAGGTCAAAAAATTTCACTTGGCAGACTTTTGGCACTATGGTTGATGTGGTGGCAAAATGTCTCTTAAAGAGTTCAGCGAAAGACATGTTAACTGCGACATTTTTCTGCACTGATTATACTTCTAGAAAGTCTGTGCACATTAACTTAGATCCGTGAGATCAGTCACTTTAAAAATAGATACCACACAGCAGCATAAAGTTTTCTGTAGACTCTCTTCTCCGATATTACTAGTTTTGCCTGTTAAAGCGAAAAATGTTTGTAGAGAGAAATTTTATGAAAACCATGTAGGAAACGTTTTTAATAGTTTATCGAGTAAAAAGGATTCATTCACGCCGTTTGACTATTTTATTTATTCACTAGTCTCAGAATGAACATTATCGATTCGCCCTCCGTCAACTACTCATAGCTGTTTTTGGGCCTTCGTTGGAATGTATAAAATTATCGATATTATTACCTGCGTTTACCACATCAAATTTCGAACTGACCGATGGTGGTTTATTTGCTGGAATACACGTTGTCGCATCGGTCAAATCTATAATACAAGTGTCTGCAAATTTTTTCATAACCCCAGTTTTGATCATAGAATCCAAACATAGAAAAAAATATATAGGTCAAAAAATTTCACTTGACAGCTTTTCTTGCTGAGCTGGTAGAACGTCTCTTAAGAGAATATCAAACATCTAACTAGATGACCAACTAATAGACTTATGTAGATTACTTTTATCTCGATAGTCATCCTCACGTCCAAGTTTGAATTTACAAATACAATATGCAGGTACCATTGGGATAATAGTTTGTACCTACACAGGTGTTCAGAGTCATACATCGACTAGCACATGCCACGCCATTTGTTGCGTTACTTGATTCGTATACGCCGGCGTATAATGTTGTTTTCGTGTCCGAAAATACACCAGATCTCATGTCACTTCGTATAGTTGGTGTTAAACATTTCTGTTGAACCAATTTCTGTGCTTTGGTACAGACGGTCACATACCTTACAATGGCATAGTTAGGTGGCGCTGGCGTCGTTGTTGCGGGACAACCTAGGAGACCGCAGAGTAAATCGCCTACTAGATCCAGAACACCACCTAGCAATCCACCTACAAGATCATCAAGCACACCGGTGAGTGCAGCGCTGAGTATCGCGGAAACATTCCCAATTAAATTTGATGAATTTGCTGCTAAACCCAATTTATTTCCAGATGCATACCACCAGCTCGAAGTACAATGCATATTTACTAATGTATTATTTAATTCAATAATATCAGCTGCTAACATTGCTAGTGTTGTTGTGGATGAATTGGTAAAGTTCAATATTGACATTTCCCGACCATTGCAAAACGCCACCGTTTCATTGATTAACAACGAACTTCCACAATTGACGTAGAATTTAGAGACTTGTGGACACGCCGAATAGACGGTTGTAATAAAACACAGATAAATAACCGAGCGCATGATCTCGTTTTGCGAATGATGGCACTGAGAGACAATCAAAATAAAAAGTGATCTAAAATAATTTTTATTATAAGTTGGACGTTTTCTTTATATCCGGTATGTTCGTGTCCAGATCATTTAGTAGCTAGAAATCAAAACCATTAGTTTAATTTCACGTTTTCATTTCCTTTCTCGCGATTCTTTTAAACAGTCGTGAGCTTCATCCGTTTTTATCTTTACTCTATGGGAAGAAATTAATTTGTACTTTCTAGAAAATTGAATATAAAATCGTGAGGCGTTTTCTAGCCCTCGCGCACTTTGCCGTAAATAAAAATCAATTGTTTATATATATCTTACTAAAGATGCGTTCGACTTTCCAGAAATTTTAATTTAATTCTTAAAATTAAAATTTTGATTTTCTTCAAATGCAGAATCGTCACCTCATATAGAATTGATAGAGAAATGACTTTGAACGTTCTGATTTGATTTCTCCATAAAAGTGTTGTTTTGTGGTAGGTCATCATAAACTACTATCCATTTCAAAATAGAAGAGACGATCGGTGTGGATGGAATAACTCCGAATCGCAAGCAGCTAGAGGCAGTTTTTGCATTCAAGAGACACATATGAGGCAAGTAAATCATGTGAGGGATACAAAAGTTTTTGAGCGAACTAAACCAGTTAAGCTCACACAGTTGTCATTTGGAAAAGAACATTTTTTCCTACTAGAGTGACTATTTACCTTCGAGCACAGAGAAAAGCTAGATGTTTGCACTTTGCACATCCAACAAGAAAATCTTTTCTCCTAAGTAAATTTTCCATTCCAGTACATTTCTAATTTGGCTCTCGGTGAATGGCTATGGATAGCCATTTGAAATTGACACTTTCTTAATGAACTCACATTCCTCGTGCATCAGACGATAAAATAGCATAATAAGATCAGTGCCACTAATAATCTATCCTGAAGATTCTCAAAACAAAAATAG